ATAAATAAATAAATTTTTAAAAAAGAGGCAGGGCTTGGCAGGAGATCCTGAGGTCTTTGGGACATGCCCTGGGAAGGAATGAACACAATCCTCATTTTTTTTAAGCATTTATATATGTATTTGAGAGGCAGAGTTATAGCCAGAGGAGAGACAGAGAGAAGGGTCTTCCATCTGCTGGTTCACGCCCCAAATGGCTGCAGTGGGCTGGGTCAGGCCAAAACCAGGAGCCAGGAGCTTCTTCCAGGTCTCCCACCAGGGCTCAAGCACTTGGGCCATCTTCCACTACTTTTCCAGGCTGTCAGTAGAGAGCTGGATCGGAAGTGGAGCAGCAAGGACTCAAACCGGTGCCCATATGGGATGCTGGCACCACAGGCGGAGGCTTAACCCACTATGCTACAGCACTGGCCCCACACAGTCCGCTTACAACCCCAGTCTCTCTCTGACTTCCCATCTCCACCCTGTGATCTCTCCCTCTCCCACATGTAATGATGACCAGTGAGATCCTCCCCAGAAACAAGTCAAAGCCAGTACCGTGCCCTTGAACCTCCACCACTGTTAACTAAATAAACCTCCTCTATTTATCTTCTATTTTCAGTCTCAAGTATCTTGTCATACGAACAGAAAACAGATGAATACATCTGGTAATGTTGAAAAAAAAAAGCATTGCACACTCCATGCCCCTGTTCCACTCCTGCCTATATGCCCCGGAGACATTCCTGCACACATGCACCAAATCTACGCAGTCCTATAGCAGAAGACAGAGAAAATGACAGTCAATGACAGCTACATGTGTCCACGTGCACAAACCTTGAAGCATAATGCTGGGTGGAAGAAGCAAGTCAGAACATACTGTTTCCATTTATAGGCGTCCACAGAACAATACTGTGTTTAGGAAGATGTACGTACATGGTGTTTATAAGAAAAAGAAGGAAATTATTAGCACAGACATGGATTAGTGGTTTTGTCTGGAAAGGGGGAAAGAGAGCATTGGAGGGTCACATACAGGCTACTCAGGTAATGTTATTTCCTTCCATATTTATTTGAGTGACAGACAGATGAGAGCTCTCCGTGCTGTTCACTACCAGTGTCCACAGCAGCCAGGGCTGGGTCAGGCCAAAGCCAGAGCCAAAGCTCAAGCTGAGTCTCCCAACTACTTAAGCCACCACCTGCTGTCTCCCAGGATGCACATTAGCAGGAAGCTGGGGTCAGCAGCAGAGCCAGGACTCCAGCCAGCACTCTGGTATGGCATGTGGGCATCACAACCCGCAGCTTGACTGGCAGGCCAGTTGCCCACCTCGGATCAGGTGATTTCTTGATCTTGCGCTGACTGGCGGGTTAGAGCGTGAATTCTATTTTTAACAGGCCATCCAAGTTTCACACAGGCTCTTGTACCCATGTTCCACTTTGCAGTAAAACTTACTTGAAGTGAAATATATGCATTGAAAAGTGGGATTCTTATTTATCACAGTGAGGAATCAAGGGAAAAACACTGAAAAATCAAGAAGTTGCCATTGAAACACTTGACTCAGTTCATGAATACAAGGCTAAAAGATTTCAAGAGACTTGTCGCTGGAGAGTAGGCCACGGGCAGTGGAGCTCCACAGCTTTTTATAACAAGGCTTGGAGAATAACTTGTCTCTTCAAACAATGTACGATGTAGATGAATAAAATAAAAATGAAGCTTATATGTGATGTTTGGGGCAGATATTAGGCACAGTGGTTAGGACACCATTTGGGACACCCACATTCCATATTGGAGTGTCCATGTTCGAGTCCTGACTCGGGTTCTGAGTCCAGTTTCTTGTTAATGCACACCCTAGAAGGCTGCAGATGATGGCTTAAGTACTTGGATCCCTGCCACCCACCTGGATTGAGTTTCCAGTTTGCAGCTTCAGCCCGGCCCAGCCCTGAGTGTTGTGAGCAATTTGGGAGTGAAACAGTAAATGGGAGATACCTCTGTCTCTTTCCCACTGTCTCCCCGCCTTTCAAATAATTAATGAATAGACCAAAAAGTGACATTTGATACCTTTAGCATCAATTTCATTGAGACAGTGGGTCGACCTTATGGCACAGCAGGTTAAGCTAGGCTTGTGACAATGGCATCCCATATCAGGGGGCCAGTTCAAGTCCTGGCTGTTCTCCTTCCCATCCGGCTCCTCCACACACATCCTCCCCCAACTGATGCATCTGGGGAAACAGTGGATGATGGCCCAAGTACTTGGGTCCCTACCACCCATGTGGGAGACCTGCATAGAGTTCCTGGTTCTTGGTTTTGGCCTGGCCCAGCCCAGCTGTTGCAGCCATTTGGGGAGTGAATCAGTAGATGGAAGACTCTCTCTCTCTCTCTCTCTCTCTCTCTCTTCTTCCCTCCCTCTCCTTCTCTAGTCTCCTCTCTCAGTCTCTTTGCCTTTCAAATAAATAAAATAAATGTTTTTAAAAAGGACATAGAGATAGCTAGCAGAATGGTGGTTGCCAAGGGCCAGGAGGAAAAAGGAACAAGAAATTACTGTTTAAGGCAGACAGAGTTTCAGTCTGGGAAAATGAAAAGGTTCTGGAGATGGATGATGATGATACATAATGATGTGAATGTGCTTAATTTAACACCACTGCACTGTACACATAAAACCCAATTAAAACAGTAGTATTTTTGCTACACATTAAAAAATGCTTAAAAAATGGCGTTTGAGCTAAGTGAGACACGAAGGAGTTAACTAGCCAAAGCAGCACCCCCAGGAGGGTGCAGGAAATCTGATTCTTGCCCTGAATCCCATCTTCATTAAAGGTTTTAATTCCCACTTCTGGCTGGAGACCACCCCGAGGGTCTTCGGAGATCATGAAGCACTCCAACATGCACAAATAAAACTCCCAAACTAAATTATGTTTAATCTTCAGAAGTCCCCTTTGGGTTCTTTATGGAAATAAATACATCAAATGTAATCTTTTTTTAAAAAAATAAAGAAACCAGAAAAACAAGAGTCATCATTCACATTCCAGAAGGATTTTTTGATTAACAAGAGGATTTAGCATGGTTTCTTAAAATAGCGGCTCCTCCAGCACATTCAAAAATGTGATTTAATTAACAAAAAACTGGCTTAGCCCACCTTCCAGAAATATGCCAAACAGGTGCTCTCAGAGGAAACAATGAGCCACCCAAAGATGAGTTCAAGTTCGTCTAGGAGGTTCTCAGTCTACGTCCTCATTGAGAAGCCCATACAGGGGCCACTCCCCTGGGAAAACCAGAGCTGGTGACCCTTCCTCCCCACTTGAGCTAATCCTGTCTCATACCTCTGTCTGTCATCACACACTGTAGATTCCCATTCTTTATCGCTGACAGGAAACAAACCGCTTGTGGGCTGGGGCTGTGTCATCCTCATCTGTGTGGTCCCAGGAGCCCAGGCCACTGCCCGGGATGTATTTGTTGATTGATCTGTTGGTTCAGTCATTGGAATGACTCCCCAAGGCTCAGGGAGACAAGCCTTGCTCTGTAGGTTTTGGCCCGTTCTATTCAGCTCTGCATGCGTTGTCTCAGAAATCCTAAAACGTGCTCGCTCTTCTCATTTTCAGTTACCGGACACCGCTTCCCCACTCACACCCAGAGACCCCACGTGGGCTCACCCTTAAATATGGTCCTCCAACACCAGGATCTTGCTTTCCTCAGTCCCCCACCCACACCCCCAGGACTAGGCCCAGGAGTTGATGAAAGGCTCTTGGGGCCATAAGACTCTCCTCACCCAGGCACCCTATATCACCTGTGAGAAACCCATGAGGTCCCTGCTAAGTGCGTGAAACAGAGACAAAGGTGGCCCACACACTTTCCCTGTCTAGGGGAGTGGAGCTTAAGAAACTTTTTCTAGAAAGTTCCAAAGAATAAATGTTTTGGGCTTTGGATATGGAGGGGGACCATGAGATAAGATAGAGCAACTTTTCTCACTGAAGAATCCTTTTTACATTTAAAAGTATAAAAATCAATCCTGGGACTGGCACTGTGGCATAGCAGGTAAAGCCACTGCCTGCAGTGCCAGCATCCCATATGGGCACCGGTTCGAGTCCCAGCTGCTCCACTTCTGATCCAGCTCTCTGCTATGGCCTGGGAAAGTAGTAGAAGATGGGCCAAGTGCTTGGGCCCCTGCACCCATGTGGGAGACATGGAGGAATCTCCTGGCTCCTGGTTTCAGATCGGCGCAGCTCCAGCCGTTGTGGACAATTGGGGAATGAACCAGTGGATGGAAGACCTCTCTCTCTCTGCATCTCCCTCTCTCTCTGTGTAACTCTTTCAAATAAATAAGTCTTTAAAAAAGATCAATCTTACTTTATGGAGCCATACAAAAACAGCTAGAGGCTGTAGTTCGCCTGCCTCTGGCCTAATTGAGAGGCAGGCATACATTCGTGAGACTATTTGAAGCTAGTAGAAAGCTCGAGGTAAACCAGACAAGAGTCAGACACATTCTTCAACCAAATCCAGTGATCCCCACAGTGAGGCATTCATTCTTTGGAAGGTGAAAGAAGGAATTACTGGACTTCTATGCTGGGGCCGGGGCTGTAACACAGCAGGTTAAGCTGCCACCTGCAGTGCCGGCATCCCATATGGGCACTGGTTCAAGTCCCAGATGCTCTACTTTCCATCCAGCTCCCTGCTAATGTACCTGGGAAAGCAGTGGAAGATGGCCCAAGGAGTCCTTGGGTTCCTGCCACCCACAGGGAGACCTGGAAGAAGCTCCTGGCTCCTGCCTTCGGCTTGGCCCAGCTCTAGTTGTTGCAGCCATTCGGGGAGTGAACCAGTGAATGGAAGGTTTCTCTGTGTCTCTCCTTATCTCTCTAACTCTTTCAAATAAATAAACATATTTTTTAAAAATACTTCTATGCCACATTTTTTTCATTTTCTAAATCTCAATCTTTGCTTATAGTTTATAAAATGCACACGATAAAAAGGTATTTGTACGTAATTTTAAAATATGTAATTACATATGTTGAGAGTGACATGCTATTTTTTTTAATTATAGGGTACAGGATAAAAAAATCTGAAGAATGCTGGCCTAATGATCTCACATCAATTTGTCTTGAAAAGCTTCACATCGTCATGCTTTTGTTTTTGTAAGTAAATGTTCTCTCACATAATAGTGGGTGATACAATCTGAATTTTTAAAGTAAAACTTACTTAAATCAATGTTGATAGATGTGGAAGAATTTCACTATCCTTGAAATCTATGTTATGGGGGAAAAGCTATGTATTGAGCACTACTGTGAGTAAAGTTCTACCTTTGGAGCCTGGATCTGTTTGGGACTTTGGAGTTTTTGCTACTCCTTACTGTTGTAGAGAGTCTTAATCATCTTCCCCTAAGGTAGGCCTTTGGGATCAAGAATTCAAATTACTGGGTTGACTTCAGGCTGGGCTTAACTTATATAAATTATATTGTAACACCCCTGTCTATGCTGAATTCAGCCTTGTGCAACAGCCAACTTTCCAACTTTCGTGCAGCAAAGGACAAGTTAGAGAGTTCTGCCTGCCAGTTTAGTTCCTCACCTCATTTGTCTTCATCTAAGCAGCAATATTTTTGCATGTTTGCACAAATTACTGGAAAATGGAAAACTCAAATTTTTAGTGCGAGTGACTACATTGTTGAGATAAACTTGATGCAACTGAAATAAAGGTGAAATAAACATGCCAGAAGCAAATCATTCACTTCACTTGGACCTTCATTGGATTAACTCAGGTATCTGGGTGTTGATTAAACAAGAAAACAATAGAACTGTAGAAGATGTCGTCAAAACTGTAGGGTCAGAGAGTTACCCCTAAAAGGAAACAAGTTAGTCTGCCACAGTTTCATGAATGCCAGCAGAAGACACAACCATGCTGCGTCAGAGACAAAGAACCTTAGCACTGACAGCAATGTCAGCATTTGCTCGCTGAGCCCCGTTTTCCACAGGACAACACAAAGAGGGCCAGATAATGTCTGCCTGGGCGGTGGGTTGGTTTATAAGAAAGGAAACCTGAGCATGGAGAACTGAAACCTTTCATGATTTATATTCTTTTAAATCTAAAATTTATTTTTTATGGCTCAAGAGTCAGTATCTCAGTGAATGTTCCATGTGAGCTTGAGAATAATGTGTATTGTATTGTTGTTGGATGGATTATTCCATAAATGTCAATTAGACCATGTGGATTGATGGTTCTAGTCAGGTCAACTATATTATTACTGATTTTCTGCCTGTTTCACCTATAAATTACTGAAAGGAGGTTTTTGAAGTTTCCAACTGTAACAGTGAATTTGTCTTTTTCTACTTGCAGTTGAGTTTTGCCTCATGTTCTATGACACTCTTTTTTTTATAAGATTTATTTTATTTATTTGAAAGGCAGAGTTACAGAGAGGGAGAGACAGACACAGAGAGAGATCTTCCATTCACTGGTTCACTTCCCAAATGACTGCAATGGCCAGGGCTAGGCCAGATCAAAGCCAGGAGCCAGGAGTTTCTTCTGGGTCTCCCAGCTGGGTGCAGGGGCCCAAATACTTGGGCATCCTCCACTGCTCTCCCAAGTGCTTAGGAGGGAGCTGAATTGAAAATGGAACATCCGGGATTCAAACTGACACCCATATGGGATGCCCATGTCACAAGTGGCAGCTTTACCCACAATGCCACAATGCCAGTCCCTCTATGACTGTTAAACTAATAGTTGCCCTAGACTTTGCAATACACTTGAATCTAAGTTCACCTTCAAATAACACTATGCTACTTCCATGTAATGCAGGTAATTTATACCAGATTATTATTCCCAGTTCATTTCTCTTGTGCCTTATGACATTGCTGAAATTTGCCTCATTAATTCATATGCTAGAATCACATAATGCATTATTGCCATTTTGTTTTAGTTATCTTCAAGATCAATTAATTATAAGAAAACAAAATATTTTATTTTACCATCGTTTGTTCTTTCTCCTTCTCTTTCTTTATGTAGAGCCAAATGTTTCAACTTCTATCCTTTTCCCACCTTGAAGCACCTCTTTTCATATTTACCATAGAGTAAGTTCGGTGATGAGTTCTCCATCACTCTTGAAGGATAATCTCACCAGATAGAGGATTGTAGGTTGACTTTTTCTTGTTTTAAGATTTTATTTATTTGAGAAGTAGAGTTACAGAGAGAGGGAGAGACAGAGAGAGGTCTTCCATCTGCTGGTTCACTCCCCAATTGGCCGCAACGGCCGGAGCTGCGCCGATCAGAAGCCAGGATCCAGGAGCTTCTTCCTGGTCTCCCATGCAGGTGCAGGGGCCCAAGGACTTGGGCCATCTTTTACTGCTTTCCCAGGCCATAGCAGAGAGCTGGATCAGAAGTGGAGCAGACTAGACTCAAACTGGCACCCATATGGGATGCCGGCACTGCAGGTGGCAGCTTTACCCACTAATGCCACAGTGCCGACCCCTAGGTTGACTTTTTACTTCCAATACATTAAATCAGAGATGGGAACCTTTTTTCTGCTAAGGGCCATTTGTATATTTATAACATCACTCCTGGACCATATAAAATTAGCAACTTAAAAATTAGCCTGCTACAGATTTACTGAATTTCAAGTCCTACCTGCAGTTGCCTCGACAAGGCCAGACTAGATGATTTCGCAGACCGTCTATGGCCTGCAGGCCGGATGTTCCCCTCCCCTGCTTAAATGCTGCCCTCTCTTCTTGCTTACATAGTTTCTAAGAAGTACACTGTAATTCTCACTCTTATTTCTCCAATTTTATATATATATTTCTCTAATTTTATATATATGTTTGTCTCCGGCTTCTTTCAAGACTTTTTTTCTCTGTGGGTTGATAACAGTATGTCTAGGTACAACTTTTAGTGTCTGTCTTGCTTGGTGGTCTCAGAGCTTTCTAGACGTGTAGTTTGGTGCCTGAAGAATGCCCGGCCCTATTACTGCAGCCATTACTTCTGCTCTGTTAGTTTTTCTTCTCCTCTGGGATTCCATCCACAAGTATGTTATGCCTTTTGAAATTTGTCCCACAGTTCTTGGGTGTTCTGTTCCAGGTTGGTTTTGCTTTTGTTTTTCATTCTTTTTTTCTCATTTCAGTTTGAGAAGTTTGATGAACATACCTTTAATCTCACTGACTCCTTCCTTGGCCATGTTCAGTCTACTAAGAATGACTCCATCAAAGGCATTCATTTCTGTTTGAGTGTTTCTGACTTCTAGCCTTTCCTTTTGATTCTTTCTTGGAATTCCCACCTTTCTCTGGCTTGTATTAGCCATCTGCTCTTGCATTTTGTCTACTTTTTCCACCAGAGCCCTTTACATAGCAACCAGTGTAATTTAAAATTCCCTATGTGATCATTCCATAAGTACATCACATCTGAGTTTGGTTCTGATGCTTGCTTTGTCTCTTCAGACAGTGTTTTTTCTTGTCTTAGCATGATGTATAATTTTTTGTTGAAAGTAGAACATGATGTATCAAGTAATAGGAAGCAAGGTGAATAATCCTTTAGTGTGAAGTTTTATATTAGTCTGACCGGGAGCTGGGCTGTGTTTAATATTGGCTGTGTGCACAGGTGCCAAAAGCCTCGAAGTCCCCCTGGTTGTCTCCGGGTTTCCCTTGATGTTTTCTCCCTGAGAAAGTCAGTACTTGAAGCTCTTCCGGCTTTGACCCACCATTGCTACACTAGTGCCGTGTTGGTGGGTGGTATGGTGTGGGGGAAGGAAAGTGTTCCAGATCTTAAGATTAAATAGAGTCTTTTGGTGGGTCCCACGAGTTGCTTAGCCTCTGTTTGCCCTTCCTTACCTGGGGAGGCTGGAGCTGAGTAATTTCCCATCCCCTACCTCCGACGAGGCGCAGAAAAGGTTTTCCCAGTAGAGTGGCTCTTTGTTGTGATTATCTTTCCTCTCCCCTTCTTGCTTCTTCACCGTGAGAATCTGGTCGGGTTCCTAGAGGGAGGACTGCAGTTCCACGCTTAGGCCTCCCTCTTTTTTTTTTTTTTCCTTTTTTTTAACGAGGTGTCTTTATTTCCTTGTTTTTCAAATAAAGCTGCCTGAATTGGTTGCTTTTGGGTGATAGATGAAGAAACCAAATCTCATATCCTCCTACAACTCCTTAGACTCTTCCTTGGCTTTGAACTTGGCAGTGGCAGCAGCCACAGGGGGAGTAGCCAAGAGGGCCTTGCCCTTTTCAGCAAGTGGAAATACGTAGTGGGTTTCCACAGACAATGCCAGGGCCCACTTGTACCTACTGAAGATAGAACGGGAGACTGGTGCCGCTGGGTAACCAATCTGCAGACACACGCTGGCAACACTGCAGATACCCTCCAGGAAGTGAGACTGCTGTAGGTGCTTCCATCAAATACCCGCTGGATGACCAGCACAAAGGAGAAGGGGCCAATGTTCAGCACAGTCAGCAGTGTGGGTTCCCTGGCTCCTACTCTGACTCCAGTCTTTATCGGCTGCACATCACTCAGCATTGTGCTGGTACCCCTGGAGATTTCAGTGGCGATGTCTAAAGCCTGGAAGAAGGAGGTCTTTGGCCCCAGAGCAGAGTCCTAGGCTGTCACAGTGACTTCCCAGGGGCCAGTGGTTACAGCACAGGTAGTAGGTGACACCTTATTGGCCACCAGCATGTCCTTGATCTCAGTGAGGTCATCCTTGGTGAACAGAAAGCCCACATTCCCCCAGATAGGAGGCGACTGTTTCTGTGGGGCTGGGTTGTTTCCCAGAGGCCCTCGGACGGCCTTATATGTTCAGGTGTCCCTCAGAGGGTTGTGTGAATGTGCTGCACCTGCTTGAAGCCCATAGCACCTGCTTTCACAGTGAAGCATTTTGGATAATCAGCCAAAAGCTGAGTGACCTTTTTTAAAGATTTATTTATTTTATTTGAAAGGCAGAGTTACAGAGAGGCAGAGAGAGAGAGAGAGAGAAAGGGAGAGGGAGGGAAGTCTTTCATCCACTGGTTCCCTCCCCAGATGGCCTCAATGGCCGGAGCTGGTCCAATCCGAAGCCAGGGGTCAGGAGCGTCTTCCGGGTCTCTCACAGGGAAGTAGTTGGACTTGCTGGCTCCCCTGTCCTCCCTGGGCAACACGGTGCTGCAGCAGGGACTGGGAAGATGCTGGGTGAGAAGAGCCTCCAACTTTATCAGAATTACCATGTAAATGTTCCTATCAGCTCTCAGCTCCAGAAACTTCTGCTCCCGGTAAACAGATCATGGCTGGACTTGGATTCGCCTGTCTCTCCAGCAGCTTGCCCTGTGACCATTCTTCCACAAGTCCAAGAAAAGTCAGTGATTTGTAGTGTGTTCAGCATTATCCTTGTCGAAAGATAGGAGGAACAAGTGTCTAAGAGTTTCCGGGCTCTTTACATGTCAGAGCTGAAAGCAGAAGCCCCTGAACCTTTTATAACAGGCAGTGAACCTAGCTGCCCTTTGCTGCCGAAGGAGACATGATTTTTATTACACTGGACAATAAATATATCTGCCCTTCACTCCACAGGGAAACATTATCTCCATCTTCCAAGGCTGTTTATTGTTCTGCCATCCTTGGAGTGATAATGAGGGCTACTCTGGACATGCAGAAATTAAAAAAAAAAAAAAACATGGAGAATTGTCTCCCCACTGATGTATGAAAACACTAGGGAAATGGACTGGAAATTGAACTTGTAACAGTGGTCCTCACCCCCGGCTGTCCATCAGCATCACTTGGAAGGTTTTTACAAAACCAAAGTCCAGAGATTCTGTTTTCATTGGTTTTGAGTAGAGCCCAAGAATTAGATGTTTATAAAAGCTCCTGTGTGGGCCGGCACCGCGGCTCAGTAGGCTAATCCTCCGCCTTGTGGCATCAGCACACTGGGTTCTAGTCCCGGTTGGGGTGCCGGATTCTGTCCCGGTTGCCCCTCTTCCAGGCCAGCTCTCTGCTGTGGCCAGGGAGTGCAGTGGAGGATGGCCCAAGTGCTTGGGCCCTGCACCCCATGG